GCTTTTGAGAATTACTTTCATATGGTTTTCTTTCCAAGGAATCCAGTTCAAATAAAGATTTCTGGATGCTGAGTATACCTACATAAGACTCATCACCAAGAAAACACTAAGCATGGCAAGAGGACTTCACCTACACTGCGTCAATTCTATACTGGAAAATATTCCAAGTCACATGCCAGGATGTCACATGCCAGGATTGATTAGTGATGTCTGATATAGGAGCAGTAAGTGAGAGTACTAGACATGTGTGTCAGACGTTTGGGAGTCTGGAGAGCCTAACTCTTCATATCCAGAGTCTGCCACTTCTTAGCTAAGTTATGTAATCTCTTTGTACCTCAGTTTCCTCAACTTGTGAAAGGGTTAGGAGATGAGATATATGTGGGGTGCCCAGGTGGCTCGGTCAGTTAAGTGTCCAACTTTGGCTCAGGTCATGATCTAATGGTTTGTGAGTTTGAGCCCCACATTGGGCTCTACAATAACAGTGCAGAGCCTACTTGGGATTCTCTCTCCCTCTCTCTTTGCCCCTCCCCCATTTGTGCTCTCTAAATAAATAAACTTTAAAAAAAAAAAAGCAGGTATATGTAACAGGCCATGTACTGTTTTTTTAAAATCAGTTTTATTGAGGTATAATTTACATATCAATTCATCAATTTTCAGTTATACAACTCAATGAATTCTGGCAAATATATACAATTGTGTAAACACCACCACAATCAGGACATAAATCAAAGGTTCACAAACTTTGCTGGTTCACCACGCTCTTGATGTCTCAGTAAACTTTTCACAGTCCTCAGGCCAAATAATTGAAAAGTATTTATGCCCTAACAACTTAGTAGCCTTTTGGGGAAAAAAAAAGAATACTCAGAAACTGACAAATCTTTTTTATTTCATTCTGAAATAACCAAAATTATTTACGAATGGAATGTGTGTGCCTATTGGGCTCTGCACAAATTCTCAACCTTTGGAAATGGATTGGACACTCTTACCCTCATTTTGTGTTCCACATTGATTTTCACATAATACTTGATTTTAATCACAGACCGCTAAAAACCTAACTACACAAAGATATGACATCATTAATAAGAATGTAGCATGGGGCACCTGGGTGGCTCAGTTGGTTGAGCATCTGACTTCGGCTCATGACTTCATGATCTCACAGTTTGTGAGTTCAAGCCCTGTGTCGGGTTCTGGGCTGACAGCTCGGAGCCTAGAGCCTGCTTCAGATTCTGTGTCTCCCTCTCTCTCTGCCCCTCCCCAGCTTGCACTCTGTCTCTCTCTCTCTCTCAAAAATAAATGAACATTAAAAAAAAATTAAAAAATAAATAAGAATGTAGTGTGATTTAACGTGCAGGTGTGAACTATCCCAAGTTAGTTTAAGCAGTATATGACAGATGTCACTGTGTTTCCCTTAAAGATTTAAATTATCTTGGGGGGACTGGGTGGCTCAGTCGATTAAACCTCTGACTTCGGCTCAGGGCATGATCGCACAGTTTGTGAGTTCAAGCCCCGCGTTGGGCTGTATGCTGACAGCTCAGAGCCTGGAGCCTACTTTGGATTCTCTGTCTCCCTCTTTCTCTGCCCCTTCCCTGCTCATGCTCTCTCTCTCAAAAATAACAACAACAACAACAGTTAAAAAAAAAAAAAAAAAGAGTATAGACTCTGATATTCAGCAGCCTGGGTTTGAATCCTGACTCCAGTACTTATAAGACATGTGACTTTGGGTATATGATTTTCCCTCTGTAAAATGGGATAAAAGGATCTACTTCATAGGGCTTTGATAAAATAATACTGGCCTTTTTGCATCTATCCCGTCTCTCTCATGTCTATTCTATACACAGCAGCCAGAGGGATGCCCATTTCATTGGTAGAAAAAAAACAAAAATCTTTACAGTGGCCTACCAGGCCCCTGTATTTCTGTGAGGTCAGGTTTAGGGAGAGGCCTCTTCAGGCTACCTCCTTCCTGGACGGGGAAGGATGGGGTCAGGTTTCCAGTGATGCAAGGCAGGAAATGCTTATTAAATCACCTGCCATGGTGTCTGTAAGTGACCTTCTGTGGTCACACCACAGGCCACAGGGCCAAACGAGTTGGTCTCAGACCAATGCTCAATTCACCAGCATAGCTGAAACCCTAACGAGCCAAACCAAAAACAAAGTCCCCATAACCACTTGACCTTGCCCCTGAGTCTAGTGAGGCCCTGGCAGAGGCAAATCACAGTCAAAAGAAAACAGATCCTTTCCTCTAGAAAGTCCCAGAGATGATAACTTTTTTTTTAGTGGGGGAGGGGGAATTCCAAAGACCTTTCAAATCCTCTGGGGTCTGACAATTAGGTTTCCTCTTTCCTGCCTTCATTTGAAAAAGGTAAGGAGAGGTGAAACACAGAAACTTTAGCTATGACCCCAAGAAAGACAGAATCAAAGAGACACAAACATGAAACCCCAAAATTCCAGATTCTAAGGCAAATATAGGAAAATTAAGATAGAAAGGAATTTTCTAGTAAAAAAAAAAATCTATATATCCATATATCTCCTTCCTTTCTAGTTCCAATCTGTCCACCTGACTACCTGTTGTGACCTCCTTTTTCCCCAATAAATGTCTCATATCTGAGGGTCTGTCCAGCATATACACAATGACAATATACACCCTACTTACTTTTTTAAAAATGCGTTCTCCTTTATTATTATTTTTTTAATGTTTATTTATTTTTGAGAGAGAGAGAGAGAGACAGAGTGCAAGCAGGGGCAGAGAGAGGGAGACACTGAATCCGAAGCAGGCTTCAGGTTCCAAGCTGTCAGCACAGAGCCTAACGCAGGGCTCGAAACCACGAACTGCGATAAAGTGACCTGAACCGAAGCTGGATGCCCAACCGACCGAGCCATCCAGGCGCCCCTATACCCTACTTACTATCCTCAAATCCCATTGACTTCCAGCTCAGGAGTTCAAAGCTCTCGAATTCATTATGGGGGATGTGGAGGTGAGGAGAGAGAGAGGGACTCCCAGCACACTGATAGACATCGGAACTAAGCATTTAAAGCACGAAGTTCTAGTGTCAGCTTTACCACTAAAAGAGCTGTGTGACCCCAGTTGAGTCCATTAGCATTCCCAAGCTTCAGCTTCCTCATCTATGAACTGAAGTTATAGACAGTGCTTTTGCTCTATGACCTTGACCCATGCTGCTGGGGACTCTGTGGCTTTCCATCCATCACTGACCTCTGACCCAGCAGTGGTCCACCAAAGCCTGAAGCCAGCAAGGTCCCTCTTCCCCAAAGGCTCCATCGATTCCAATTCCTCCACTGCTGAAGAACTGAGTAGGTGACATCACAGTTTCCCCTTATACAACCCTTGCTGTGCACCACGGGACAAAATCCAGAATCCCCAACTCCTCTCTGTCTCTCACACAACTGAACCCCAACGATACCAAGTAAGAACACAACAACAAATCAAACGTCTCCTTTGCAAGCTCTGCCTGCCAAGACTAGTTATCTAATTGCTGTTGATTGCATTAATTGCATGGCTCTGAAGTGTTGAGACAACTCCGTGTAGTGTAAGGCAGGGCAAGGGAAAGGAATTCATGAACAAAACGGTACAGTAAAACTCTTCTCCTACTCCAGACCCTAACGCCCCTTCCATGGCTCCAAGGCTGAATGTGACTTGAGAGCCCAGTAGGACAAAGTATTAAGAAGCAGCTGAATCTTCTCGATGGGACAGGAGCTAGAAGGATCCACTGGGAACTGGGTGGGCCCCAAGCCCTGGACTTAAGGGGAGGGCACCACCCCACACATGATGCACAGGCCAAGAACAGCATACTGGTTCTGGATACCCTATCCTCTGCTCATGCCTGAAACGGAGCCCCCCACCCCCACCCCTCACCTTCCTGCTCAGTCTCTTCAGGACCCTCCTCTTTAAACATTGGGGCCTACTGCCACATGTCTAGAAGACCCATCACAGACAATCTCCTCTTCCCTCCTCTAGACACTATAAGAGGCCAACCAACTGCAGACAAGAGCTACATGGACAGGGAAAATGTCATTGCTCCAGAATAGGAAGAAGTGGGGTGGGGCTGTGCATGATTTCAGGCAAAAACAGAGCCCAACTCCAGAGAAGTACCTGGAGAGGAAAAAGCCCCATCTCCAAAAATGATCCAGGAGTCCCTCTCGGCCAACCCCAAGGTTTCAAAGGAGGTGTCTCTAGTCACCTCAGTAGGTAGCTGAGACCTCTCTGAACCTCCTTTGGATTAACTCCTCCGGCCAGGCTCCCACAGGGGCAATACCATTCTCTCAAGAGGCCTTGCTTACATCTGCCCTCACCCCACCCCGGGTAAGGTTCTGGGCCAGATGGGGGAGGGCGGGGAGCAGCCTCTATCACCGAGGGAGGCAACCCAGCTGTCAGAACTGACAGATGTCATCCAGAACGCCAAACTCAGCCTGCAGCAGCGGCAGAGAGGAGGGCACAGACACCAGAGCCCCAAAGACGCAGAACAAGGGTCCCCAATCCCTGAGCAAAGCCTAAGGGTTCAAGGTGAACGGCTCCCAAGCACATCTCTTAAAATGTAGTTGCAGAAGAGAGGGCTGCCCCACCAGAATAGGAGTTGAGCTGCCGAGAGTGGGGTTAGGAGAGACCCCTGCGGAGGTGGGGGCTGGGCTGTTCTCTGAATCCCAGCACATATCTGTGCCCACAGGCTTCCCTTACATGACACACCTGGAACTTCCCCTCAGAGACCACAGACCAACTTTCTGCAGAGGAGGAGGTGCGCGGGAGCAAAGAGCCGGTGCGAAGGCGGGATAATGGGGGGCTACGACAGGGCGCCCCAAGTGGGTGAAGAATTGAAGTGCTGGAAGATAGGAGGATGCTGGCCCACGCGGACAACCAACTCCCAGGGCCTAGCCAGGGGCACCCCCCACCCCGACCCTGACGGGCCCCACCGCCCCGGCTGGGGAAGCAGGAAGGGAAAGGCACTGCACCGCAGGTAGCAGAGCTGCCCAACCAGGTGGCCCGGCCCTACCTGCAGTTCCTGAAATTCTTCCTCCAGCTCATGCCACTCGCGCTCGCAACGCTCCAGCTGGCCGGACATGGTGCGGCGGTGCGAGGCGGCGGCGGCGGCTCCCGCAGCGTGGCGCGACTGGCCGCCAGCACCACAGCCCGTCCGCTCGCCGGCCGCCTTCGGAGACACCAGCTGTTCCTGCGCAGCCGGAGCCACGCGCGCACCTGACGTCACAGCCCCCGCCCCGGCGGCCGCCCCACCCCCTCGCCGGGGAGGCAGGCCCCGCGCATGCGCACGCACTTCCCCCCGGCTCCGCCCCCGGGCGCCGGCTGGGGGACCGCTGTAGTTCTGCAGGTCTTGGCGGGTCTGTTGCTGCCCCCTTGAGAGTGCTTATGCTTTTCCAGAATCTCTCCTAGTTGGGCTAGGGGCTAGGGAACTTGTCCTAAAACTGCATTTGCCAAACTTATTTTACTTAGATTGTGTTTATTTGGGGTGACTGAGTCGGGAGGGAGGAAGATTTTGAGGAGGTGAAAGCTCACCACCTCTTGGCATTGCCTGACCGGAGCCAAAGCCAACGGCCCAGAATGCTAGAACTGACATTGACCATCCAACAAGGTCGCCAGGCAAGGCCGAGGAGGGCCCCGTCGTCTCACGGTGTCGTTATTTACTGCAACTAATTCATCCTAGATTCCTGCCCTCTAAGACTCTAGGTGACTCTTTTGACAGCTGTTTCTGTCGCTCAAATGACACAATTGCATCCCCTCCCTTTCATGGTCCTACAAGATCTATCCCTGCCTAACTTCCCAGTCACATCTCCTATCTCACCTCCCTGGATCAGTACTTCCCAGCCAGTTTCTTCTCTTCCTGCCCTTGCATGGAACATTCCCTCTAAATCTTCACATGGTTGCCTTTTTCTCATCATTCAAGCCTTAATTCAATGACACCTGTATTAATTTCCTAGGGCTGCGGCAGCACGTGGCTGACTCAATCCATACAGCATGCAACTCTTGATCTCAGGGTTCTGAGTTCAAGCCCCACATTGATCTCCCAGCCTACTTAAATTACAAAAGAAAGGGCCGCCTGGGTGGCGCAGTCGGTTAAGCGTCC